ATCTAGTGGCACTAGTGATCGATTTGCTACGGGATTTCTTGTTACTCTTGGTGGTTGCCACCACCTAGATGGCTTGGAGCATTGGTGGATTGTTGAGCAGAAGGTGGTGATTGTTTCTGGCACCGATTGGTGATTTATGAGGGGTTCTTGACCTTAGTCCCCGCAGAAGATTCGCAAATAGGTACTCTAGTGGAATCGTGGCTTGTGGAGCTCTCTCTAGTGTGGTTCTTATGGCGCCCAAGTGGTGGGCTAGCGGTGTGATGCCTATTAGCGCGTGAGCCACCTAGTTAGTGTCTCACCACAACGTGGATGTAGGTTGCCGGCAAGCAACTGAACCATGGGGTTGGAGTCTCTTTTTTTCTTGATTGTCTCTTGCTCGGTTGGTATACCACTCTATCTCTCTCGCATTTACAATTCCATACTTGTCTTGAGTGGTAGTTGCTTGTGTAGCCTAGTGTAGAGCTAGTTTAGTTTCTAGTTGCTTTACCTTGCTTAGTAGCTCTTGTTGTGGTAGTTAATTAGTTTTTGCTAGTTGTAGGTTTGTTTGTTTGGGTGCCTTCAACTTTAGAGTTCCTAGCTACTAGAATTCTATAGGAAAGGCTTGCTTGAGGTGAATTAGAGCTAGAGCTTTATTTTGCATAATCGCCATCTTGTAGTCTAACAAATTGCGCTAGTGCTTTGAAGGAAATTTTTACAGGCTATTCCCCTCTAGCCATTTAGGTCTTTTTAGCCACCTGATCTTGCCATCCGCGTGCGCCTCACTTCCCATGCTGTCGTTGTCGTTGAGATCTCGCTAGGCCCCATGGCACCTGATGCAACTATTGAGCAGCTCCGCCTCTAGTGCTACTCACCTTGAAAGTGTTTTGGGAGTTATAAACCCGGACATATGGGTATCACGACTCACAGTGAAAGTGTGCAACCTCTGCAGAGTGTAAAACTGGTATATCAGTCGTGCTCACGGTCACGAGTGGCCTTGGAACCCTTATGGAATAGATGATCACTAAGTAATATCTATTTATGCTGTTCATTATTCATGTTTACATTGATCCTGTGTTTCACTTTGGGAATTAAGACAACTTGTTGCTACTCATCTGCTAAAAATTGTGACAACTAAAAGCTGAATGATGTTAAACCTATGTCAAGCCTTTTGAGCCTCATGAACCCCATGTTACACTTGTTGAGTACTACATGTACTTACGCTTGTTTATTTTCATTATTTGGATAAAAATCCCGAATGGGTAACAGATGACTATGGTAATGACGATTTTCTTGAGGAATACTAGACTTGTGATCAACTAGTCGACGTCCCTGTGATATGAAGCTTCCGCGAGAGATCTTTTCTTTATACTTCCGCTATATCTATGTGAAGACTTTGTCTTATTATTCGTGATGTAATAAACACTTGTGATGATACTATTTATAATTTGTCGGCTTATGTGTGTGACTGATCTCTGGGCGCACATAAGATTTTGCATCCTATTTTATCCTTAAAATTGGGTGTGACATATTTTGAGGGAGAGTTGTAGTTTTTGGCTACTTGATGTGTGCTTGTATCAATAAGGGGGGTAATTATTCCACACAGAGCACAAAGGGGAGAATTAGTTGAGCGTGCATACATTTGTGAGATATCCATCGATTCAGGGGGAGTTTGCATTTGAGGCTATTTTGCTAGTTGTGTTGAGCCTTTGCCACTTATGGAGGGACTAGCTTTGGTTTTGATAGCTTTGTGGTACTTCGTTTTGCTCTGAGTTTGATGGTTTTTGCTCTTTTGCTTAGCTAGTGGTGTTGAGCCATTTCTTCCTCTTCTTGAGGACTAGCTATTTTTGCTTGGTTGTGTTGAGTTGTTGCCCATATCTTTGGGGACCCAGCTTTGCTCAATTGAAATGACCCATTTTGGTTTGTCTTTGGCTTTTGGTCATTTGAGTGAGTTTTACCCTTTTTCTTTTGCTTTTGTTCCTTCTCTATGTGTTGGTGTTGACATTGCACTCACCAAGGGGGGATTCCGAACACATGGTTGATATGTGCCCATGTGTGTCGAGTTGTGATGAGTGATTGTCAAGAGATGAGGCTTCGATTGAGTTTGAGACTAACCCTAGCATGAGTGTGTGGGCAACATGTGTCTTGGCTGCGTTGGTGTGCAGGTGTAGAGCACAGAGACGGTAGACGCTCATGGAGGAGGTCATGTAGAGATGTGCCATGCCAATGGACTGGGAGTGGTGAAGGACAAACATGAGGCTTGGACCGTGGGACCAAGATGGCCGGAAGACTAATCGTGGGTAGTTGACATTTGGGGATATCGACAAGCAAATCTACATGTGGAGGAGCATACCATGTAGATCAAGTCAAGACGGCGGTTGACCAAGTCAAGAGGAGGCACCGGAGGACTTGGTAATCGGGCGGTTGAGGACGGACGGTGACACGCATTGAGATCGTGGAGGAGGCATAGCGGATACGCTTCTCCAGCGGGGTTTGGTTGTTTGGGCCTCAAAACCACTGGCACACGGTTTTTTAGTTTGGGCCTCAAAACCCGGTTGGAGTTTAGGATGGACTTAGAGGCGCCACATGGCATCATCATGAAGCTTGTGTCGAGGCGAAGCAAAATCGTGAAGAGCTCATGGCCATTGGATGCACAGGTCTCAAGTTGGATCATTTTGCCCCTAGGTTATATTAAGTGGTTCAGCCAAAATATCTAAGGGCTTGTTGGGAATATAATAAGCCTATAAATAAGATAGAAGGTTGCCCCAACCAACCATCTCTTCTAGGTTTTCGTTTCTGCATCTAGAGTTAGTTTTCCAAATCTTGTCTCTAGTTTCCTTGAGTGTGTAGTTGAGATCCACAGTCGAGTGAGTGATTCCACTGTCTGTATAATCTTTCCTATGTAAGACCAGACCTTGTTTATCTTCGAATAAAGCAATCATTCCTCTAAATCAAGTCTCCAAGATTTTGTGTTTGAAATCGATTTGGTTTTTCTCTCCCGGTCTCTCTCTCTCCCTTTGCTCGTTTGGTGGATTTCGATTTCTTGCGGGTTTGAGGGTGATTTGAGTGGATGGATTCATGCTAGGACCTCTGAGGAACATCTTTGCCAAGTGGTTTGAGTAGATTCCTTATGAGCACTTAGATCCATCACTTTGAGGAAAAATTGAGAAACCCCCCAACACTTTTGATGGATTTTTCAATCTGCGTTGATTCCTTGACTTCTGGGTGATGATCATTGGGGAATAACTTCTAAGAGCCCAAGGTAATCCTTCTGCAAAATTTTGACAATTTTTAGAGCTCATTAGAATTTATTTTTGAATTTTTCTTGGAGAGAATTATGCTGAAATCTACGTAAACCGGCTCAGGCAATTTGGAAAACAGACTCAGGCCGATTTTTCCAGTTGCTCCGATTGAGCTAATTTTCGGTGTACATCTTATCCTTGGTGTTTTAAGCTCCTCACAAGTGTCAAGTCAGTATGAATTCGTTTGATTGGCTTTTGACTTTTTCTCTTCCGTGGGCTGAAAAAACTGGCTCAGGCCGGTTTTGCAAATTGGCTCAAGCCAGTTTTTGTTGTTGGTTTCCAAGGTTGGTTGTTTTGATCTCCGTTTGCTTCTGTACTTGTTCCGCTATGTGCTTGGGTCTCTCTTGAGTGTATCTAGCCACCAGTTGGCGTGTGTGTACTTTTCTCGGAGTTTTTGGTGTTTTGAGCGCTTGGTTGGGCGGTGTTGGGATAGCGGCCGAAATCGAAAGAAAATTGGATTAGGCTCCTATCCACTCACTCTCTGTTCACATTGCTCGGTCCTTGACTTGCTTACGAAGAATTAGCACATTGACATGTTCTCACTGAAATTAGGGGATTGTTGGTTTTGTAATAAGCCCTTAGTGGGTTATAATCAAAATTATGGATTTATGTGTTTTTATCAACTTTGGTGTCATAAGAATTTATGTTATTTTCTATAAATTTAGTCAAACATTAAAAATTGACTTAAATTGATTTATTAGAGGGGGCACTCAGCCAGATCAGCGCCATGTTCGTTTGGGCTGGTTTGGCTTATAAGCCATATTTGAAAATCTTGTTAATTTGGTTTGTGTGTAAGAGAAAAATATTATTCGTTATACGATAAGCCATAGCTTATAAGCCAAATACGACCGACTTGGTTTTGCAGCACACAGGCTTGACTGCAGCCGTTGCTGCACACACCGCTTGGGTGCAGCAGGCAGCAGCCAACCACAATCGCAGGAGCAACCACAGCAACTGTACGGCAGCAGTGACACATTATATTGGATCGGAGCTGCTGCGGAGAACATCATGAATTACCTTACCCACGCTAGTAATGTAGGAGTAATTGCAGTCATACGTGCCTGTGAAGGAGTAGCTGCGTTGCTGAGTGACAATGGACCAACAATGATAGACGTCGGCTTCAATCCAACCACCACATACATGCTCGTTGAATGAGATGCTCCACACTACTTTCAGCCATGGCTTATAGGCCAAGGCCCGGTATTATAAGCAAGGGCCGAGCTGAAAGTACTGTTACCTGAGAAAGTAGATTATGTGAGCACCTGCCAGTTCTTCTTTGAATGACTAATATGTATAAAAAGAAACAAAACAGTGCATTAATCTTCTGGTCTTGACCTGGCTGGCCAGTGGCCACCTGAGTGCACATATTATAAGCTTCATTGTGGGTAAAATTATACCACTTATGCATATTGAAATTTGTCAATTTATTGCAGTCATTTAGCTGCTTTTGCCTAGTGCAGGAAAATAACGAAATACTGCATTCTCTAACTGCAGCTTCTTAGCCTCGAAGATTCAAGAGAAGCTGTTTATGGCACCCTTGATGCTTGGGTTGCCTTTGAGCAGGATTTTCCTTTGGCCTCACTAAAGCAAACACTTTCAGTTCTTGAGAAGGAGGAACAATGGCATAGAATTGTCCAGGTATTGTATAGTGTCAGCTGCTTTCATTTGTATTTGTCATCAATACACTGTGAAGTAAATGTCTGTGACTACATAGGTGGTCAAATGGATGCTGAGCAAAGGGCAAGGAAATACACAATGAGAACATATGAGCTATTAGCGTGTGCACTTGAGAAGGATAATAGAGCTGAGGAAGCACACAGAATCTGGCAGAAGAAAATAGGCCATGATCTGCATTCGGTTCCTTGGCGTTTCTGCCGTCTTATGTTGGCTATCTACTACCGAAACAATAGGCTAGACAGGCTCGTGAAGGTTTGGACCTAAACTTTGTAACTTTGTGATATAAACTATTTTTATTTGGTAACACGGCTTATATGAATTACTTTACCTATCTCTTCTGATGATTTAGCTCTTCAAAGAAGTAGAAGCTTGTGGTCGTAAACCTCCAAGCAAAGATATTGTACGGAAAGTTGAAGATGCATACGAAATGCTTGGATTACTAGAAGAGAAAAAAGCGTTGCTTGATAAATACAAGGATTTATACAACAAACCATCTCGAAACGATCGAAAGAAAGGTTCCAGATCCAAAAAGACCGAGACTGATAAAACATCTCGTTAGTTTCCATTCCTCGTGTGAGATGTCCCTTCAGACATTATTATGTACTATGCCTGTAAAATTCCCATTTGCTTCAGATGCTGAACTTAGTTATTTTACGAGTATATATGACTAGTGTTGTTTAATCTCTAGAGTATTCCCCTCAGTTGCATAAAATCAATTAATTTGTTAGGACACTAGAAATCACAACATTATTATTCTGTTCTCTGCTGATGACAGTAAGGAAAGCAAGATGGAAACATCTGAAAATCTTGAAGATCACTGTTTCCCCTTAGATGAGAAATCAGATGCCTCCGCTGAGTCATGATAAGAGGTAACGTAAAACTAGGCAGTCCATGACTTTCAGTTTACAGTTATGTGTTTAGAAGTGCTGCTTGGACATCACATCTCCCTTGTTTATTCTCCTTCCAGATTCATCACTGATCCACTGACGTGGCCATAAGATTTGACCGAAACCAGATGCTGGCAGCATTAGCGATCTTCATGCTCTCAGTACACGTTTGCTTTTAGTAGATGCCTAGCTGATGGAGCAAATAGTATGTGCTCCCCTAATCTGAAACATGTTTATTTTTTTCTTCTGATGTGTTGATAGTTGACGCTACTCTGAATTTTGTTTTCCTTGGCTTGGTTAGGCCAAACATATGTATTCACTGCCATCAATTCGTATTTTTTTCTAGACATGGTACAAGAGCATTTGTATTTGTGCTGAAAATTTTGGGAAAATCCTAGACGACTGTTGGCATAATCAATTAATTTGTATTTGTTTGCTGCAACTCTGAAGATGGAAGAAAAGTATTCCTGTGTCAAAGGAGAATGTGGATAGCTATGATAAGTGAAGTGGGAAGCTAAAGCAGCTGGCCATATCTTTGCTTTCAGGAATCAGGTTGCTTTTGCCTGCATTTTCCCAATTTCCCTCTTATGTGCTTTGGAAACTTTGAAGGCAGCATTTCTGTTGGGCCCAGGCCGGCCTGATGAAGAGCTTTGGATACTGTCACATGATGCTTCTTTTTTTCTCTCTCTCAAAGGAAGCCCTCTTGGCTCTTGATGTATGTATGATTCCCTCTCTCTAGCTAGTTTTGGCACTTGGATGGTGATGGTGGAAGTGGAACCCTAGTTGTCATGCATGCATATGTAGTGGGAGGAATTGAAGCGGTTTGCACGCTCACTTCACTTGATCACCATACATACATGCGTGCACAGTGGATTCGTACCCATGCATCCATGTTGCCAGCTATACTCCTATGTGTGACTGACTTTGTTGCTACATGATGTGCATATACCCAAATTCGTAAACTGGAATGTGCATTCCACCCCGCAGGGCCGCATAAGTGCATATATACATATACATATATAGATATATAGTGGTGGTGGAGGGCCTGCAACTGCAAATTCGATTCCTCTGTAAAGCAAGCGTTTGTTTCTGACGTTTGTGCGCATCGAATCTGATCTGGCATTTCTATAATTTGGATTTGGACGCACAGACAGGACATGCTTGCAATGCCGTGGCCGCGTTGCTCGCCACAGAACTGGGATGCCGAAATTGTAGGCTCTGTTCGCTCGAGATTATCAGCCAGCTAGAAAATAGTGTTTTTCTCTCACAACAAATCAGTCGGAGCCAAAATAAGTCTAGCCGAACAGACCCTGCATGAACACGATGACAGATTTCCTGATTGTTGGTGTGCACTTCAATCCCAACTAGTTATGTATGAGCAACTGATGGAGGATCTGCCAGACCTGGTTTAGTTCCTCTCTAAAACTTTACGTCCTGTCACATCGAATATTTAACACATGCATAGAGTATTAAATATAAACTAAAAAATAACTAATCGCACAGATTGCGACTACTTCGCAAGACGAATCTTTTAAGCCTAATTAGTTCATGATTTGATAATGTGGTGCTATAGTAACACATGTGTTAATGACAGATTAATTAGGCTTAATAAATTCGTCTCGCGGTTTACTGATGGATTTTGTAATTTATTTTTTTATTAATATTTAAACACCACGTGCGATACCTATATAATATCCGATGTGATACCTCAAAACTTTACTCTCTGTATCCAGGCATTAGCAAAGGACGATCTCGTGTGGAAAACATGCAGTGCCCACTGTCCAATTCGACAACCATCATGCATCGACTGTAGATACAGAGTCATGTGTCGATCGAGACATTTTGCAAAGACTACACGGTCACACCAGACAAACACAAAAACCCACTGGCTTGCGGCTCAGCTGCTTATCATTAGCTATATCCGCGGCTGCTTGGTGTTGTGTTGAGAATAGCAGCATTGCCTCTGCCACAAATCGATTGTGTCAGTAGAGGAAGAAAGTCATGGAGGCGACGGCGATGAGCTTGGGCAAGGCTGTGCTGGGCGGAGCGCTCAGCTATGCCAAGTCCCAGGCCGCGGAGGAGGTGGCCCTGCAGCTCGGCGTCGAGGACGACGTGATCTTCATCACCGACGAGCTGCAGATGATGCAGTCGTTCCTGATGACAGCCGACAAGGAGCGAAGCCAGAGCAAGGTGCTCACGACCTGGGTGACGCAGGTCCGCGACCTGGCCTACAACGTGGAGGACAGTCTCATGGATTTCGGCCTCCACGCTGGGAAGAAGCCCATCTGGGGGTGCATCCCCGTAACCTGTGCGATCGACGTCGCATAGCCAAGGAGGTGAAAAAGCTAAGGGCCAAGGTCGAGGATGTAAGCAACAGGAACCTGCGCTACCGCCTCATCAAGGATGGCTCAAGCTCCAAGCCTGCCGGTGCGGTGGCGGAGCAGTCTGGCGCCTCTGATGGTGCAGCAATGTTTGGCATAAACCAAGCCATGATTGCTGCCGTAGAGCACCAACAGTCCAAGGCAGACCTTCTGCAGCTGGTCACTAGCAAGGAGGTCGACCTGAGGGTGATGGCTATGTGGGGAACAACCGGTGATCCTGGGAAGACGGCCGCCATCCATGAGGTTTATAATGACCCAAGTGTGACCTCAAGGTATGGAGTCAGGGCATGGGTTAGGCTGATCCACCCTTTCAAGCCAAGAGTGTTTCTTCATAGCATGGTAAGGCAATTCTTTGAAAATGTTCATGATAAGCCTCAAGGGGGAGAAGAAGTAGTAATGAATGTTGGGGCAAGTGTTCTTCTCAAGATGGAGAAGATGAACCAAAGTGATTTAGTGTACACGTTTACTACACAGTTGAGTAGCAATAGCTATCTAATTGTAATAAATGGCCTACGCACAATAGAAGAGTGGCAATGCATCAGAAGGTACTTCCCTGACAACAAGAAACAGAGCAGAATCATAGTGTCCACTCAGCAAGTTGAGGTTGCAAGCTTATGTACAGAGCAACCATACCAAATGTCCGAGTTCAAGCAGCTCCCGTATGACCAAACACTTTATCTGTTCCATAGGAAGCAGGTAAGTCTCCATCAAAAAATTTCTTCCAGTTATTGTTTTGTTCGACACGACTGAGGTTGTTGTTTTTATTCCATTTCTGACTAAAGGACTCAGAGGAGCGGACCAGTGCATCAAATTTTGACGAAAATGAAGCAAAACCTGCTGATTTAGAGGAGGGAAAATCAAATGTGAACCACCACAACTTGACCAAGAATGAAAATCTCAAGAAGGTAAAACAGGAAACAAATCAGTCATCTAACACAACTATGGTCATTCTTTATTTCCTCATGCATGTCCTCGATTCCTCATAGTTAACGGGTTTCACTCTACTGAAAAATTTGTTATATAAATTGCATGCACACAAATGATATTTTCTTACATGCATGACGCATGCTTTTCACCCTCAAATATTTTTGTGTCATCTCAAATTTACCTTGTAAAATTTGACAAAATATGCATTCCTGGTTAATATGTTATTACATTCCAAATGTATTATCAGATTTATGCTACAGATGAGCTGATCCTGGTAGTTAGCTTAAAAGAATAATTAACAAATATATAAAAAAGAATGTATTCTCAGATCTATTGTATACATGCCTCCCAATGATATTGAAAGTTTTATTGTGGAAGCTCTAATAGAGATATTTATAAAATTATATACTTTTGTAGTTTTGTGGGCATATTATGCTTACCGAAAGTGTAATGTGAATGTCAATATCCGGGTAGCTCGATGTGCAATTGTATAGACCACAAGGGAATAAATTTCTGAAACAAATGTTGTGTTCATCAGGTTATTATTCCTGAGCCCATCTGTGACCCAGCAACGCCTAGTAATGAGATACATGAAGAATATCAACAACCAAAGAGTACAGGTGGAAATAATTTCTGTACCTCAACGGCTAGAAAAAAGTTTGATCGCAGGAGGACAATGGCACTGGATGATGATGTACTTGTTGGGAGAAAGACAGAGAAATCCAAAGTAATTGATTTGATTGGTCAACCTTCGGACATGGAAGGCTGTAAGGTGATCTCTGTCTGGGGAATGGGAGGCCTTGGCAAAACTACTCTTGTCCGAAGCATCTACAGAAGCCAACAGCTTGGTAACTGGAAGCGTGCTTGGGTCACTTCTCCGCGTCCCTTCAACAATGAAGTGCTCATCAGAACCTTAGTTTTGCAATTACTGACAGACGATCCTACTGCAGCAAGTGAAATAAAACAGAAAAAACTCGACGACGATCCTACTGCAGCAAGTGAAATAAAACAGAAAAAACTCGACCAGGTAAGGACAAACCTAGCAACGATGAGGTTGGATGACCTAAGAGAAAAGTTAAAAAATATTCTAGAAAAGCATAAGAACTGTCTCATTGTTCTTGATGACCTATCATCTATTGAAGAATGGAACTTGGTTCGAGATCATTTGGCAAAGGCTAAACGGATCATAGTCACCACAAGGGAACATAAAGTTGCCAAACATTGTTCGCGAGAAGACATGAACACGCACCAACTTCAAGTCCTGGATCAAGAGGAGGCACTTGCCCTCTTCGTAAAGAAGGTACTTCTGAACATTTCTTTGTCAATTATTCCTATTGAAATGAGTTTGCTTTGGCTATTGCATTAGCATTGTTAAGTTTTCCGGAATATTGGCCGTCTACAAAACATGCTTTTCTTTGTTTATTCGTGCCATAAAGTTCACTAATTACATAAAATGTGCTCTTATTAACTCTGTCTCTCGTATTCTCAAGCCTGAAGTGGCTGTATGTTAGGGATAGAGATCGGAAGAACTAGAATGGGGAAGGGAAGAAAACAAAGGTAGCGTCGGAGGACATATTAGCTATAGAGAATTCAGTTATCTATTGTCTTGTTACCTACTCTCGCACGGCTCCTTCTCTTTAATACATTTTGAGAGAGTATTGGTGTTTAGATAATGCTCGATTAGATTGCTCAATGACTACCAGTGAGTACATAAAAAGGCACGATGGGGGGAGCCTAGGTCGGCAGGCCCATGGCCCAAGGGTTTACATTCTAACACGCCCCCGCATCGGAACTGGGAGCACAACGAACATTCAGACTGGACCTAAACTTCATAAAGACGGATGTCAGCAAATCTTTGGTGAAGATGTCAGCGTATTGGGAGGATGTAGGAACATGCAGGACGCGAATTTCACCAAGAGCGGCGTGTTCACGGACCAAGTGTAAGTCAATCTCCACATGTTTAGTCCGCTGGTACTGAACGGGGTTGGTGAAGAGGTAAACAACACTGATGTTGTCACAATAAACATTGGTGGGCGCGGCAAACAGGGTAGTGAAGTTCCTGAAAAGCTGGCGCAACCAGCAAGCTTCGGCGATGCCATTGGCCACGACGCGATACACGTCTTCATCATTGGACCGGAACACTGTCGGCTGGCGCTTGGAAGACTAGGAAATGAGAATGTCCACAAGGAAGACAGCATAAGATGAGGTGGATTTGCGAGTGTCAAGGTAGGCGGCCCAATCGGCGAAGTCCGGTAAAGATGGAGACCGAGGTCCAGAGCGCCCTGTAAATACCGCAAAATCCACTTCATAGCAGCGAGATGGGGATCTCTCGGGTCGTGCATATGTAAACAAACTTGTTGGACGATATAAGCGATATCAGGTCGAGTAAATGTGAGATACTACAGAGCACCTGCAATGTTGCGGTAGTGAGTAGGATCAGACACCAAAGTACCAGCAGCAGACAATTTGGAGTGAGTGTTCATAGGAGTACTGCATGGCTTGCAATCTTCCATATCAGCAGGGTCCAGAATATCTAGCAAATACTCTCGTTGTGAGACAAATAGGCCATGGTCTCGATGTTCAACAGTAATACCTAGGAAGTAATGAAGAGGACCCATATCTATCATAGAGAATTCCTGTCGAAGAGCCGAAATAATCTGCTGGAGGAAACTCTCTGACGAAGCCGCGAGAACGATGTCATCAACATAGAGAAGCAAGAAAGCCATATCAGTGCCACGACGGTGAATAAACGATGAGGTGTCAGACTTAGCTTCGACAAATCCAAGAGATGTGATGCGAGAAGCTAAGTGACTGTGCCAAGCGCAAGGGCCTGCTTCAATCCATATAGAGAGCGGTTCAGGTGGCAAACATGATCAGGTCTGGAGGAGTCAACAAAACCAGATGGTTGCACGCAGTACACTGTCTTGGTCATAGTGCCATGCAGGAACACATTCTTGATGTCGAGCTGATGAACGGACCAAGAGCGGGAGAGAGCCAAACTGAGTACCACACAATTGGTGGCAGGCTTCACAACTGGACTCAAAGTCTCGTCGTAGTCAATCTCGGGTCATTGAGTGAAACCACGTAAGACCCATCGAGCATTGTAGCGATCAAGAGAACCATCTAACAAGAACTTGTCGTGATATACCCATTTGCCAGTGATAACATTGACTCCAGGGGATGAGGTACCAAGGTCCAAGTGTTGTTTTGCCTGGAGTGCATCGAACTCGGATTGCACAGCACACCAATTCAGATTAGACAGAGCTGATAAAAAAGGCATCGAACGCAAGGAGAGCACCGCGTGCCATGCTGAGGTTGAGGAGATCCACCGGCTGGATGAAACCGAATTTGGCACAAGTGCACATACCATGCGCATTGGGCACAACGGCCTTCGGGGCCATGGCTGTGATGCGCCCGGTGGCACACTTGGCACCACTGGCAACAACCTGGGACAAGGTGTCGACAGGGCCAGCGGCATGGGGCGGTCCGACGGAGGTCCCAACAACGCCGTTGGCAACAGCTTGGGACATGGTGTCCATAGGGCCCGTGGCACAAGGCTTGGGAGGTGAGGATGGCCCGACGGGTGGAGACCCAGACCCAGGTAGAGGCGGTGGCTCGGTAGCGCCAGGGGCATGCAGCCAAGCCGAATCGGCTGTAGGCGCATGTGCAGCTTGAGCACCATCGGGAGGAGGTGTACCTGCATGCACAACACTAGTCCCAATGAGCAAAGTGGAGCAATCATCATCGCTAAAAATGTCCAAGGTTGTGGGATCCAAGGGAGAGGTAGACATATCAGAAAAAGGGAAAATGACTCATCAAACACAATGTGTCGAGAGACAATAATTTTATTGGAATGAAGGTCGAGACACCTATACCCTTTATGATCGGCATAGTAGCCAAGAAAGATGCACAAGGAGGAGCGAGGAGATAGCTTATGTGGGGCTGTGGAGGACAGGTTTGGGTAACAAGTGCATCCAAACACGTGGAGGTGAGTGTAGGATTGGTGTGTACCATGAAGAGCATAGAACAGGGTGAGGCCGTCTATAGTATTAGTGGGGTGACGATTAAGGAGATATGTGGCAGTGTGAAGGGAGTCAGCCCAATAGATGGGAGGAAGACTGGCCTGAAAGACGAGAGAGCGCACAATATTATTGATGGTGAGAAGAACGCACTCAGTTCAACCATTCTGCTGGGATGTGTACGCGCACAACATGCGAAGGCTGACACCGTTGGTGAGAAAGAATGTGTGAGCCAAGGACTGATCGAATTCATGGCCGTTATCGCACTAGACTACCTTGATAGGGAAGCCAAAATGCATGCACACATACGAGAGAAAAATAGATAGAACATCGAAAGTCTTAGACTTGAGGCGAAGGGGAAAAGTCCAAGTATAGGTCATCAAGGATGACAAGGTAGTACTTGTAACCTGACGTACTAACAACTGGAGATTCCCAAAGATCACAGTGTATTAAATCAAAACGATGAAATGCACGAGTGTTTGACATGCTAAAAGGAAGATGCACATGGCGGCCTAAGCGATAGGCATGACCTAACTATATATTTATATGATCGAAGTGCATTTATTACAAGAAATAGCATTGGAGCTAACAAGGTGTCATAAGCGAGATGACCGAGGCGACGATACCGGATAGTGGTTGTAACACCCCGTCTAAAAAGCGCTTATATGTCCCAGCCCGCATGTGGAACAGAGCCTACATACGCATAGCACCTCTCTTACACTTTCGTTCTCGCTTCGTCTAAAAGGGTTAACTAGGAGGTGCTACGTTTGGAACAACAAGGATTATAAGTGGCCTCACCCTCCTAAACTTTCAAGGTGGTACTAAACCCACCAATCACAACCACGCATGTGCCACTTGGGCCACATGGGCCAAGTTCACAACTACTATAGGTTACTAATGTGCTAGGGTGTTACATTCACCCCCCTAAGGGCTGATGCCCTTGGCAGCTCAACACATATATGTGGCAGATGTCCAAGATCACCCCTTGGTACACCCCTCCATGGGCACATGATGTAAGGGTTGATGCTTCGAATACCATCTGTAACACCCGATAGGCAGGGGTCACTATGAAGCCTTTCAAAGGTTCATCTAACAAATTAGGGCCACTAAGTTTTTGTGCCTTGCAAATGTAGGGCTCCCCTTCCGACAAGCACAATGACACGCAATCTATACAGTGACGGACAGAGGCCGTACTATATCCAACCCGAAACACACCCATCTTGAGCCATAAAGGTAACATCTAACAAGCTAGAAAAGGTCCTCATACTGAGCTAAAGCCAGAGCCATGTAGCCCTCATAGCTGTACTGTAAGTCCTGGATGATCACTTATAGATAAGTCGTTAGACAGAGGAATCTGAAGCATTTAGAAAGTAGCTAAACACTCTAGCCCCCTGTTTCTAAGTTGCTAAAAAGTCATATTTTAATGTTTATTGCATATACCATTAGTCAAGTTACAAGATCATGGTCCAGTTGAGCACTAGCAAAGCTACCCAATGCACATCCCATAGGAAACAAGGTATAAGTTCAATTCCAGGGAATTCCTATCAAGGTGACACATGCAAATATGTATTAAATGTATTAAACTTGATAGGAAATAAGAATAATCCCAAGCTATACTTGCCTTGAACAAAGTACTCCTGCTGTTCCTGCTCGTCAAAGTAGTATTCTTGGTCACCCACGAATTACTCACCGTCTATACTCGATAATCACAGCAACATACAAGCATCCAGAAGCAATCATGCATAGCAAACAAAAGCTATATATTAGAATAGTACACCAATCAACATAAAATCAAGATGAAAAGTTTGAAAAATAAATCTATGTCTTGCTACGAACACACAGAAGCGGAGATCACAAAAATCGGAGCTAAAACAAAGAAGTTATGATTTAAACAAGATTTCCTTTAGTAAAATAATAGATTAAATCTAACCTCAAATTTTAAGAGTTGAAAACATACTTAACAGTAGTATGAACATGTAGATTACTTAATTATGAACCTAATGCAACTTGAACGGATCAAATCAGAGTTAAAACGGAGATTTTATAGCTAAAACAAGATTAGTGGCAAAACTCTAAATAGGTGAAAACGTATTTTGGATCTAAACCGAAGAAACTACGCTTTCTAGAGAAGAAAACATACTCTAGAAAAGTGCTATGGACTGCGGGTTAAGTTATTCAAAAACGCGAGGGGCTCTTTAGAAAAAGACAGGGACGACGGGTTAAGATCCAATTAATTGTAAGGGCCATTTTGCAAAAACGCCAGCGAAGGGGTATGTTCTAATTCTGGCCCTTGATCTAGATTTGGACAGCCGAAATTCAATCGTGCGGGGGAAAGAAAGAGTTGACC